AGTTGCAGGCGCCTTTTTTCTGTTGTATCGGACGCAAGGAGGAATCGGCGCCTACTATCCCGTGTATCGGATTCACGGGGTCATGGGAGCTTATTGCTCCGTGTGTACGGGGTAGGGCGCGTGCTATTCCGTGTATCGGATACACGGAGTAATAGGGGCCGATTTATCCGTGTAGGCGGGCGCCAGGGGGCGTCGCCAGTTTGTGTTTGTTGTTGTTGTTGTTGTTGTTGGTGTTGTTGTTGAAGTCTCACTATGGAAGAGCAGGTCTTGTTGAGCCACCCTCGTGCACATGGTGTATTTTTCAATTGAAGTGCCCTTCCGGGGGCTCGCACCCGGTTTTTGTACCAGGGAACCTCGTGAGGCTCAAATTGGGCCCCTGGCCCCCGAACTGCAACGACAACTGCTCTCGCCTGATATTTCCTCACCATTTCTTGCCCCTTCGCTCCCGTTTGAAACTTCTTCGCAGTTGATTTAAATAATCGCGCTCTCGTTGGACATTTCTTGGCAAGTTCGTGAGGGGGCGCTCTCGCCATTCAGGAAAAGCGCTCTCGGCTCGGACTTCCTTATAGTCTGCTTGGGAGTCGCTCTCTCGCCCGAGACCTTTTGGCGAATCCTGCAGGACTCGCGCATACGCGAGTCGCCCGCTCGACCCGTCCGTCAGGGTCCGCCCGCCTGACCCGCCCAGTCTGGCCCGCAGTCGCCCCTCGCTGCTTCTCGCCCGTTCCGATACCCCTCTGTGCCCCTCGCGATCCCGCAGTCGGATTTGAAGGCCCCGCCGCTGCCTTCGTGACCTCGATGCCTTCCGTGGCCCCGCTATTCGAGCCCCTCGATGCCATTCGTGGCTCCCCGGTCGCCTTTCGTGGCCCCCCTCGCTGGCCTTCGTGGCCCCCGATGTAGCTCTTCGTGGCCCTCTCGCTGCCCTTCCTGGCCCCTTCGCAGCCCTCAGTGGCCCCCTTCCGTGTGACGCTGCGCGAATTACACGTGGCAGGGAAGAACGGTATCCCCTCTAAAGGTGGTGCCATCGAAGACGAAGCGTATCCAGGGTTTGGGAAACACATGTTGATTGACGAGCGCGCGTGTAACAGCGACCAGTCTTACATGCGCTGTTGATGTGGTTGTTGTTGTTTGTTGTTGTTGCTGCTGTTGTTGTTGCTGCTGCTGCTAGTGTTGTTGTTATTGTAGGTGTTGTTTCTGATGAACTCTCACTGCTGAAGAAAACATATAATTTATCCCCCGCCTTCAGTGAACATTGTATTCTTTCAATTGCAGTGCTTCCCCTGGGGCTCGTATCCCGGTTTTTCTGAGAGAAAGTCACGGGGCTCAAACTGGTTGTTGGCCCCCAGTTTACAACAACAACGGCTCCCGCCTGATACTTCACCACAATTGTTTCCCACATATCGCTCTCGCGCGGGACTCCCTCACAGTTTGTATACGAATCGCGCTCTCGCGTGGGATGACCTCGCAGTTTATTCAGACGATGCGCTTTTGACGCTCAGAAATCAGGCTCTCGCTGTCTGGCTTTTCTCACGATTTACTTGGGAATCGCACTGTCGCGTGGGCCCGCCTTCCCGACCTGCCCGCTATGGGTCTGCCCAACCGATTTACCCGTCTGGTTCTCCCATTTGTAATCTTCTCCTTGCCCCCCTTCTGCTAATTTCTGTGCTCCATTCTTCTCCCCCCCTTCCACCCGTCTTCTCTTCCCTGGTTTTAGGGACTGCACTAAATCCACGTGGCAGGTAAGGAAGATGTGCCACCAAGGGGGTACGATCGAAGACGTCGAGGGCGGGTACCGAGGGCTTGGGATATACGTATTTATTGGCACGTGAGCAGATCGGAGCGAGCAGTCTTGAAATCGTTGTTGTTGTTATTATTGTTGTTCTTGCTGTTGTTTTTGTTGTTGCTGCTGTTGTTGTAATTGTTGTTGCCGTTGTTGCTGTTTTTTTTGTTTTTTCTTCTGTTGCTGCTGTTGCTGTTGTTGTTGTTGTTGCTGTTGCTGTTGAGCTGTCGCTTCTGAAGAACAATTGTTGTAGATCCCCCCCCTCGGGCGCACATTCTATCTTTCTAATTGAAATGCCCCTCCGGGGTCTGGCGCATTGTATTCTACCAGGGGAAGCCTTGAAGGTCAAGCTGGGTCCCGCGTGGTACTTCCTCACAAGTCATTCCAGCATCGCGCTCTCGCGTGGGACTTCTCGCAGCTTATGCAGGAAACTTGCTTTCGCGTGAGACTTCCTCGCAACTCATTCAAACGCCGCGCCTTCGACGCTCACGGATCGCGCTGCCGTTTGGTTTCTGTTGCACGATTTTCTTGGGGATCGCGCTATCGCTCGAGACTTCCCCCGGTTCATGCAGGATTCAACTTCAACAACCCGCCTGCTCGACCTTGCCGCGTGGGCCCGCCTTCCCGACCTGCCCGCCTGATCTGCCCGTCTGGTTCTGCCATGTGTTTTCTGCTCCTAGCCCCCCTCCTGCTAATGTCTCTAGTGCTCCATCCTTCTCCCTCCCCTTTCCATCCGTCCTCCCTTCCCCTGTGCTAGGGGCTGCGCTACATGCACTTCGCAGGTAAGGAAGATCTACCCTTCAAGGGGGGACGATCGAAGACGAAGAGGGCGGGTACCAAGGGTTTGAGATATACGTGCTGAGCGGCACGCGATCAGATAGGAGCGAAAAGTCTTGAAATGATTGTTGTTGATGATGTTGTTGTTATCGTTGTCGTAATAGCTGTATTTGTAGTCGAAGTTGTTGTACTTGTATTTATGTTTGTAGTTGAGTTTGTATTTGTAGTAGTACGAGTAGTCGTAGTCGTAGTAGTAGTAGTAGTAGTAGTCGTAGTAGTAGTAGTCGTAGTAGTAGTAGTCGTAGTAGTAGTCGTAGTAGTAGTAGTAGTAGTAGTAGTAGTAGTAGTAGTAGTAGTAGTGTAGTAGTAGTAATCGTAGTAGTAGTAGTAGTAGTAGTAGTAGTAGTAGTAGTAGTAGTAGTAGTAGTAGTAGTAGTAGTAGTAGTAGTAGTAGTAGTAGTAGTAGTAGTAGTAGTAGTAGTAGTAGTAGTAGTAGTAGTAGTAGTAGTAGTGTAGTAGTAGTAGTAGTAGTAGTAGTAGTAGTAGTAGTAGTAGTAG